TGATCCCTACCAACCTGACCCATTCTGACTCTGTCATTCTGTGAAGAACCCAAATCTGAACTGTGATGAATGTTTCCTAGTGTCCAACCTACACCTCTCATGGCACACCTTAAGGCCATTTCCTCTTGTCCAGCCATTTGTTGCCTGGGAAAAAAGACCAACCCCAAACTGGCTATAGCCTCCTTCCACATGGTTGTGGAGAGTGATAACATCTCCTGAGCCTCCTCTTCTCCAGGGTAAACTCCCTCAGCTCCCTCAGCTGCTCCCTATACAACATGTGCTCCAGACCCTTCACCTGCTTCATTGCTCTTCTCTGGACTCACTCCAACACCTCCAGTGAAATTGACAGCTATGTGGAAAATGAAAGACTGATGGAAATAACAGTTCCTTATCATATCATGCTTTTGTGTCCAACAGTATATTTGTAGTGTTCTCAGTATTCAATCATAAGAACTTTAAAAATTAAGTCTAGCAACTTTATAATGTTTTAAGCAGAATAAAAGTCTTTATATGAACAAAATTTATTTCAAAAAAACTGAAATTCATCAGAATCTGCATATGGCAGTCTTATGTAGCCAGTTTTTTTGAGCTAGGAATGAAAATAACAAGTTACATGGGTTTATGAAACTAGAGGGTTTTGACGATAGAACATTAGCTCAGGTAGCAGAGGGCCCTTGGGGTACATACAGAGGATCTCTTGAATCTTTTAGAACAAATTGCACTCCATGCATTTATTTTTTTCACTTTCAGCCTTTCACTCTTGCTTATGATTTTAAGCAGCTCAGCCAAGTCAAGGTAATTGTTGAAATCAATGGGTATCCAAAAACAGTGTTGGGAGTATTTTCTCTCGGTCATGCTGCTTTTCTGTTCTGTGATCTTGGGGCAGGTTTATGCCGACAGCCAAATAAACTGTCACTAACCCACAGAGGCTAGTGGGTTATCCTATCCTCCAGCTAACATCTTACGTTTCATGTCACTGCAGCTGAAGGACGGCTTCTCTAACTTTAAACTTTCCAGCTGACAAAAGCTTTACGCGGCGCACCGAGCCCTCCCCGCCCCGCCCCCGGTGCCTCCCCGCCCC